AAAGGTATTAAATGTCAAAAAGTAAAAGAAAACGTTTATCAATTAAAACTAAATGAAAGTTCGTTTTTTCTTTTTTTGTCTCACCTGATGGTAAATATAGAAGTTCAATAGATGAATAGAGTTAGATATATTTAGGGTAACCAATACCAAACAAAAAAGAAAAAAGAAAACATAGAAAGAGAAAAAAAAAAGATCTCTGATCAAGTTAATAATACAGACACAAAACACTTTACGTCTCGCCTATGTTCCTCTCTTTTTCTCCTGTGCATTTTCTTTTATTTCTCTTATTCGCACTTCTGGACGTCGATGTCAGCGAGCTTCGCTTTACTTTATAAGTGTTTCGAACGAACATAAATGTAAAGAAAAAAGATCGAAACATCGAAAATTTGATACATGCGCTCACACATACTTTATTGCCTATATATATGAGACTGATTACTCTCTCTGTGTCTCTCTTTCTCTCTATCTATGCTTTGTCGTTCGGTGCATTGAATTGTTTTTAAATTAGAAAAGAAAGAAAGAATCTCTTAAAACAATAACTATTAATGATTATTAAATAAATAAAGAAAAACTATTAAAAATAAACAAATACTTGCTTTGTTATACACTTATATAGACGAACTTAAAAGAAAGAATTGAACTATAGTGAAAGAAGAAGACGAAAAATAAAAAAATCTTCAAAGAAAGAACGTCCAATCGAATCTGAGTATTATCTTAAAAAAAGCGACATTCTTGTTATTTTTTTTGGTATTTCATTCTTTTTTATTATTAAAACAATAGTTTGTCAAACATAATTAAACATTAGATTTAACTTTAAATAAAATATTCTATTTTAATAGATGTCACTCAGATCAAAAGTTTTTCTTGAAATTTGAACATGATTTTCATCCTATCAGTCGATATCTTATGAAAGTAACAATATAAATTCAATGATTACAAACATAATTAATAATTTCTTATACTAATCAATTCATTAGATTTACCTAATATTGTTTATAACTATCGATAATAAATGATAACTATTGTTATGAAATAGCAATAGCAGTACTTCAAAATTGTATTATCATAACTAGATTGTCAACTTTTTTTTGTTGATTGAAAACGTATACTAAAAGAATAAAATATATATATTTATTATTTTCATCGGTAAATAATTTCACTAACTATCAAAAAAACATGTGTTTTGATCATTATGTAAATTGAAAAATAATTTTTCATATCATGATTGTAAGATGATTTTAATCAATATATGTTTACTGTACAATATTAAGGTCAACATTAATTATTGATTTATAACCAAAAAAAACAAAAATCATAGCATATTGTGATTAATGGCTCGGTTATTTATAAATAAAAATTTTTGTTTTGGTTTTCTTACTTCTATTTAAAACATAATATAAACATTGTTAGTCTTTTTTTGTGTATGTCTATCATGATCTGTGTATCTTCTTTTTTTTTGTTTTGCTATATAATAATATTACAATGATAAATGAAAGCTTATCTTGATAAGAAATTTATATATAATATAGCTATTAGAATGAGACTATATTTATATGCACTTGAGTTTTTTGTTTTAATAAAATTTAACATTAAAAAAATGAAATGTATTAAATTAAAAGGATTTGTAATCAACTATTTACGAAGAATAATATTATATAAATGAATATTTAACAAAACTACTTTAAAAGAATTACAAGATTTGTGTAGGCTTTAAAATTTTTGTTGTTTCATTCCATCAGATAGACGAAATTTATGTAGTGTATTGACATTCTTATATAAATGTCAAAGTTTTTTACTGCTTTCGCTGACAAATAATAACATTTTCACTTTGTGAAGTAGGCTTAGAAAACATTCTTGAAGATATGTTGAATTTTTGTATGATTAATTTTAGAATCTTATATTATCAAGAAGTTTGATGTATAGCACTTTGTTTATTACATGTAAAGATTAAATACCTACAATGAAATTTGAGATATTTATCAGCGTTGCTATTACATCTGTTTTTTTTTAATTGAATAGAAAGAAAATGATTCTTGTGCAAAAAATTGAAAGTAATTAAAGACAAATGTTGACATGTTTCTTGACTTGCAAGTTTTTTTTATATCCGATTTTTTTTTTTTTTTTGTGAGTTTTATTAACTTTATACAGTGCCGAAATTTGAATTGGAAATTAAAAGAATTATTAAATGTGTTTCATTTGAATAGTATAAAATAATTTATTTATTATTCTTATCTTTCATATGTAGATCTTATGATGATTGTCATATGATGATAATGAATCAGAGAAAAATATTAGTTAATCAAAGATTTATATAAGATAATAATAATAACGTGAAAGGATCGATAAACGAACTAAATTAATGAAGTTTTTTTGTTGGACCTTTAGAGAAAATCATAGAAAGTAATCAATCTATGTATTTAATAGCTTTGGCTAATTCAAGACAGAATCAATGACCGATTCGAGAACCTTAATGCGTAGAGTTTTCTTTAATAATATTTTGTATATCAACTTTCTGTTCAGACTTTCTCATAAGTTATGACGTCAATATTTAAATAATAAAGAAAATTTTAATTGTTTTTTTTCTACATAAAATTGTAAAATATATATGAATTGAAAGGCCGGTCAAGAAATTCGTGTGGAATTAAAACGTAAAATATCACGAATTCAACAGTATAATTCTAAATTTCTTATCGGTTGAAAAAAGTTTGTTCTATTCTCTATAAATTACAATCATTGTATCTATCATTTAGGAAAGCAACAATGATGACATACTGATCTTAACATGTACTTATAATCTAACCATAAATCTATATAGTAGTTTTGAATTGATTTCGATTATTTGATCATAGGCTATTTATTAAAATTTTCGGGTTTAATTTCTGCATTCGAGAAAAGTTTAGTTCCCAAGATTTATTCATGTTTTTACAAAATTCAGCTACAGATCTAAAAAGTTGAAATAAATCTAAGACTATCATTATTCAATGCGTGTATATCTAGACCAGAGATGTCCATCGCGGCGCTGCCGCTGCCGCCGTGGCGGTGGCGGCGCGACAGCGGCAGATTTTTTCCAAAAACTATCGCGGCGCGGGAGAGATTTTTATTTTGCCGTCGCGGCAGCTTTTTAGGAAAAAATTTCAAAAATTCATGAATTTGCACAGAATCTGCATGTTTATGTATGCTATACTGTAAGACTTAGCGAATCTGATCGATTAGCGGGATCAGTTCTATTTCAAACCAGTCAAAGCCTTGAAAATCAAAACATTTTTTCGAATACCAGCGTGGCAGCGGCGCGGTAGCGGCAAGTTCTTGTTTAAGGCGCGTCGCGGCAGCGGCGCGGTAGCTTTTTTTAACAGGCCATCGCGTCGCGGGAGCGGCGCGGCAGCTTTGTTTGATTTTGGCCGCGGTGCGGCAGCGGCAGATTTTGAGCCGCGATGGACATCTCTGATCTCGACTAGTACAATATTATTAGAAATGAATCGATAATTGTCATTACTATTGTATTTCTAATGTCAAGATGATTCATTTGCATTATCATTTTATATTTCGTATTCGAAAATAACTTATATAGTTATTCTATAATTAAAATAAAAATATTTAAAAAAAATATGCATGATTAAAATAATAATTAAGTCCATCAAAAAAAAAATTATATAGGTCCAAATTGTTCTTTACCATTTTTTGTTGGATCCCATCCTGTATTTTGTGGATGTTTTTTACCATAATTTGTTAAATCTTTCATATCATCATCAGATAAAACAAAATCAAAAACATTCATATTTTCTTTAAGTCTTTCAATGCCTGATGTTGTTTTTGGTATTGTAATAAAACCATTTTGTAATGACCAACGTATAAGAATTTGTGCTGGTGTTTTACCATATTTTTCACTTAATTTTATTAAATATGAATCATTAAGAAAATGTCCTTTACCTAATGGTGAATAACCCATAATAGCAATATTATTTGTTCGACAATAATCAACAATATCTTCATTAGGCCACCATGGATGTAATTCAATTTGATTAACAGCTGGTACAAAACCAGCTTGTTTTAACCATTTTAAATGTTGAACACCAAAATTTGATACACCAATTGAACGAATTTTACCTTCTTTTTGTAATTGAATCATTTCTTTATAAACTTCAAGTATATGACCACCTTGTGGTGCATGAATAAGATATAAATCAATATAATTTGTATTCAATTGTTGAAGTGAATTATTAAATGATTTATGAAGACCTTGACGACCATCATTTGTACGAAAAATTTTTGTTGTTATAAATATTTGTTCACGATCAATAGTTTTTTTTACAGCTTCACCTACTTGTGTTTCATTTCCATATAATTCAGCTGTATCAATTAATGAATAACCAAGACGTATAGCATCAGTTATAATTTGAGTTGTTTTTGATGATGATGCTGCTTGATATAAACCTAAACCAAATATTGGCATTAAATGACCATCATTTAATCGAATTCGAGATGCTAATGTGAACGACATGAATTTCTAAAAAAAAAAGAACAGGTTTAATTAGACTGGATTCTATTTCAGATAGAGATCCATTAAATTAAACTATCCATTCATGACAGGATAAGATTTTTCTTTTTTTTGGTATCGTATAACCTGTTTGAAGCAAGTTATCTAATCGTACTGTGCTTATACTAGTGGCGAATATGGAAGAAGACATCAAGGTGATCATCTCTCCCTTTTCTTAGCCAAAAAAAGCATATGAATTCATTAGAGAGTTACGGAGCCATCTTGTTCTGGATCAAGTTTGAACGAACCTGCAGTTCCCGAGTCGTTATTCATTGCGAATAACAAGATCATATTCGGAGGAGGGCGGGGGGTATTGAACAATATTATGTCTTTCAAACGAAATTTCCATGAAAATAGAAAAAATAATCAATAAATATATTTAAAAATATCGTATATAAACTATTTTAATTAGAAAATAAAAAAAAAAAACAAACATCAAAATCATTTAAAAACAGATAGAATCGATTCATTTGTTTTCAAAAGCTAATGATGATAAATCAAATTGATCTTGTTCATTTGGTTTTTTCTATATATAAAAATAAATGATTTCAAAAATTTTATTTTCTTTTTAAATCAAATACATACAATCCATAGACCAAATCCACAATTTTCAAATGCTTGATTAACCTTTAACAAAAAATAAAAACCATCATTAATCATCAAAGAAAAAAAAAAAAACAAAATTCTACTTTTATTTTAGCTGTTTGATAATCTACAGCTAATTGTTTAGCATCATAATAATTCTTTGGTATTGTTTCTGATTTAATTTTATTCATTAAATTTATCCATTGTTGAAATAAAGCTATTTTTGATACTATTGATGGTTCATCTACAATTTCTCATATATATACAAATAGAAATTATAAAAAACAATGAAATCTTACGTGATATTGTTAATCCACTTAAACTATCGATAATTTCACATTTTTGATCAATACAATTCCATATCAATGCATGATTTGATGATCGTGTTGTATTTCGTATTTCGGGATTGGTAATATCTGTTATAAATGGTCGTCGTAATCCATATGGAATTGGCATATTATATACTTTCTATAAATATTAATATCATGTTTCTTATTTTTTTTTTTTTTGATTATTATACAATCTTTTTATTTACATGTTCTATTCGAGAAAATAATGCTCGTCGAATATGTTCACTATTATATAAACTTCCTATGATAATACTAGTATAATAAATTGGATTAATTAATGTACTTAATAAAGCACCTATTAAAATAGTATTTAATTAAATACAACAAAAAAATTGAAATTTTTGTTTTTTTTTACCTTGTAAACCAATAAAATTCCATCGACATAATTTATCTGAACAAGACATTGTTAAAAATCGTTCATTAGATATTAATTCATCACATATTGATATATTTTGATAAATTGTTTTAGCTAAAATAGGTATTGTACCTTCACTAACTTCAATTTTTCTTCGTAATAATCCACATGATTTTTTTAATGAATATTTTAAATTTTGTTTTAAATTAATTAATGATGATTTTTCATATGTATTATCTTGTTGTGATATAAGTCGACTATCACCACATGGTGCTATTGATATATATAAATGAAATGTAATTGATGATTTAATTTGATATTGATTATTATGAGAAATTTTTTCAAATATTGTTTCATCATATTTTTCATTTAAATATAATTTTAATTGTTCATAACAATAATAAATAAGACAACGACGTGCTAATATTTCAGCATGACAATCATGTAGAATTTTTCCATTTTGTATTAAAGAATTATTATTTATTGATTTTGTACCTGTTGTTATACAAATAATTTCCATTGTTTCAAGATTATAATTATGTAAAAGAATAATACCAGATAAAACTTTACGTCGTTGAAAACGTACATTATTTTTAGTTAATTCATGAAATTTTTCTTGAATACATAATGCAATACGATCAGCAAGAATTTGACGAGAATAAGAAAGATTATTTGGAAGACTATCATTTTCAATTGATAGACAATCTATGAAAATAAAAATAAAATATACTATTTAATAAATATCCCGTAAGCTTTCAATAATTTTATTTATGGCTATTGATGTGGAAACCTAAATCCAAACGATAGATTCTGTACTGTGTAGAATTCTCTACGAAAACATTTTGCTCTTGTTATTGTTATTTCAATTCTTACACCTATCGTTTAAGCTCATATTGGGCTAAGAAAAATGACTTAGTGAGAATAGCAATATTCTAAAATGGTTCGTTCTTATGATAGTTTTTTCGATCCATCTTTAGAGATATACATATAAGAAAGAAACATTTGTAGAAAATCCTGAAAATTTCAGTCGAAAAGAATGTTAAGAAACATGTAAAATCGATTGAACTATTGAAGACTTATTCAAATTTTATTTTCTAATAGATTTTGACAACATTTTCTATGTAGTATAGATCGATATGAATTCTAAATCAATCATTTACTAATTAAATTTATTTCTTTTTTTCTATATTTATCATACACAAAATTTATTCAATATTAATCATTGAAAACGTTGAGTACTTACACTTAAATATATATATATATTGTTAATTCTAATTGATCAATTATTTATTTTCTAGAGAAACACTTTATTATAATAATACTTCATAGTTTGTTTTCTACTGAAAGATTTTTATCATTTGACATAAGTGGAAATAAAAGAAAAAAAAACGCTTTATTGCCTTAAGCAAATTCAATTCTTATATTAGAAAGCATAAAAACAAAAACAAATGTCGAAATCTATACAATTGAATCAAAGTCATATATTCTATTAATGAACTTATCAATAAATCAAAAATATTAAATAAGAATTAAACTTTTTTTTATTCAAGTTGAATAATAATATTATTTACCTTGTTTATGAAAACACATACCAAATAATTTTTCTAATGCATATTGTGCTGCTTTTATTTTAGCTATATTTTTATTTTCATCTATACCAATAAAATGTTGATTATCAATAGTAATAATAAATTTATATTCATTTTGTTCAGATATTATTTCATTTGTAATTTCTTTACATTCAAAATTTTGTTTTAATTTTTTAAGAAGATAAAATGGATTTAATTCATTTTGATTTTCATATGATTCAGAAATATTTAATTGTATATTATTATCATTATTCATATTTGTTAATAGGAAGTCATTTTTTAAATTATCAGACAATGGAAAAGGTAATTGAGAAAATGATCGAAGTGCTTTTTCAGCAGCTAATAAAAAAGAAAAAAAAAAGAATAATAATAATAATAATCATTAAATTTAATTATTATTATTATTTACCTGCTTGTTTAGCTTCTTTTTTTGTTTGAGCTATACCTTCAAATATTTGTCCATTAAGTTCAACAGCCATAGTAAACATAGGTCGATGAGATGGACCTGTTTGTGCAATAAGTTTATATTCAATTGAAGGTTTAAGTTCATGTAATAACATAAGTGCATTTTTTGATAATGATGATGAACTATTATTAATAGTTGGTGTTAATTTCGGACGTTTTTTTTCTTGTATATCATGAAAATCATCACGTATACGTTTGAATCTATGTGGTAATGTTTGTTGATGAATACTATATTCAACTAAAGATATAAAATATTGTCATTATTTATTATAATTTATTTATTTTGGCATAATATTAGACTATAAAATAATTCAATATGACAATAAATAAGGGACTCGTCCTACTTGTCAATATTCATTATTATATAACTTTCAGGAAGTTATTATTTCAAGTACTTAGCTTTTCATATCAAGAAAACTTACACTTCGGATTTGTGTATAAGTTGAATGGATTGTTTAAAAGTGTTGTATTATATAACGGAATTATAGAAGAAGATAAAAAATCTGCTGATATAGGTCCTAATAATGTTGTTGTTGTTGATGATGACAAAGGCATGTATACAACATGACCAAATGGAAACATATGCATTTGATTAATAGTAATGATTGAAAATGTTGTATGTATTAAGTAAATCAATAAAAAATTGATTTTATTATTCTAATAATCTCTTATTTCTAGTGAATGTCAAAAGATGGTGAAAGAGTTTTTTCTTTTTTTATGTATGTGTATGTCTCTTATGCTCTCTCTCTGTCTCTCTTTCTCTATCTATCTAACAAACAATTTAATATAGATCTACATGTTTATAGTTTTTTCTATTTTTTGTTTCTTTTGCTCTTTCTCTTATATGAGAAGAAGAAAAAAAAAAAGGGAATGAAAAATAGCGTGAAAAAAAAACAGAATGATAATATTGATATATTTCTTTTCTTTTGAAAGTCTAGTTAATTTCTGTTATATATCAATTGTGTATGTCTTTATCAAATTTATTATTACTACATGATTAATAATCGTTGTTCATATAGAATTCTTTTTCTTTTTTTGTCTTTATCTAATCAGAAAATGAATCATTAATAATGAGACGTGCTCACATATGAAATATATATCATTCTGATGGCAATATATTGAAATCAATACTAGTTTGTTTTCTTTTCTCTCATGTTTGCTGAGTACTTGATCCTTTCCTTCATCATATACTTATTATTATTATTATTATTGTTAAATGAATGATGCCATTCGTCTATATATAATCAGTTAGATTCTCTTTTTTTTTGTATCTATATCGAGCAATATCTTCCACACACGCGATTTTCATATGTTAATTATGATAGAAACCAAACGAAGCATTTTCATTTTCTTTTTTTTTTTTTTTTGTTGTTTGTTTTTCAGTCATCAAGCTTCTGTCTATTTAGTTAAATTACTATGACGGAAAAATAGAAGTTTGATCAAATAATAAATGATTTGTTGATTGAAGAAGTTTTGTTAAATGTTCTATTTGTTTTTTTGTTTTTACTTGCCGGAAAAAAAACATTCTATTATACAATAAATATGAAAGAATAATAAATACATAGATCAAGTAAATACAATTCTTTTCTTTTATTTATTTATAAGAAACATTATTATATTCTACAAAAATAATTATTGATTTACCTTGATCATTTTTCACATTGTTAATTGATTGTTAATAAAGTTTTGATAGCAAAACAAATTGGAAAAGAATATTTGAATATCATTAATTTTCTTTATTGAAGTATATTTATCTAAAATAGACTTCAATTGATAATTTTCTTTAGTATTAGTTATTGTTAATTTGAATTATGGATAATCAATACTATTTTAATTGAAAGAATATTTGTTAATTATGTCTTAAATCTATTCTGAACGAAAAAAAGAACACTTAATAATTGAATATTTAATACAGACATATTGTGTATTGATTAATTGACTATTCTTTCGATAAGTAAGAGAAAGAAGACTTGATGTAAAGAGTTTTAAAATTATTTTCATTCAAATTTTTAAATGTAATTATACAACAAAAGTTGTTAGAACAATTTCCTATGGGATTATAATGTAAAAATATAATATAATTGCTAGTTTTGAATCACAAGAGATTGTTTTATTATATCTATTATAAAATATATCTCTTCACAATCTTTTTATTGAATCCTTCAGAAATGTAAGAAGGAAGTAGTTGAAAATTCTATTCTATATTCTTCAATACTTTGTTTATATTATTTTTTACAGACAAAAAAAAAATACAAACATTGATAGTACAAGCGAATGTTTCAATGTAATCGTTGAATTATTTTCATTTATTATTTCTAAAGTATATAACTAATATGGATTGAACTTTTGAACGTTTTTTAATTTTATCTTATGATAGGATTTCTTTTCATAGTTTACTAATGAAGAGTGATCATCGTATTAATATAGTTATTAATGAGATCAAAGCATTTTTGAAAAACATAAAAGCAATAGTTTCGATTTGAGATTTTGCTTATCTCAGGTCAATCATTCCGTCCATCGGAAAGGGCGTCTTATCTGGTTAGAAACGGCTATAAAACGGTGAATTACTGCCTTAATTTTGGCCTTATCTCGCTGTAATCCGTCATTTTGTTTTACGAGCCGTTTTTATCGCTAGAAAACGGTCATCGTTTTCCCCCAGTTTTGCTTCCATAATCTGGTATGACGGATTACGGCATCGTTTTACATCATTATTACGTCGTTTTATTGGATCTGGGATGGTATTGTAAAGCATGTGTTCAACGAATATCATGTTACATGTATTTATAGAATCAATATCAGATGTGTTTATTGAAAACGTCTTGATTTCAGTATCATAAAATAACAATGCTATAGTTTCAATTTATATCAACTCTAAAAATTCATTTTTGAATTCAAATTTTTATAAATGAAGGTCAAAATGCAAAATGATTGATTGTGAAAGTCAAATATAAAAAATTGAAAATTCTATCATGCAAAAATTCCCCATTTGTTTTTTATATTTATATCCACAGATAGAAAATCTGATACTTTCACAATGAATTAATCCGATTATAAACTTTATTTATCAAAAGTTTGAATGTACAAACCGATTATAAATCTGATCTAGAATATCTTTTCTTTAATTACAGCACCCTCGGTCTCACACAGGAAAATCTCAGATTTGCTTGTCATACAAATCTTTGTAAGAAAATTTGATTGGTCAAAATATCTGTACCAATTCTTTTTTATTTTGATTGTGGCGCCAATAGAAGTTTTTTTTTTTGAAAAAAAAAGAATTTTGAAATCAAACAAAATCATATTTTTTTAATTATTTATTTTATTAATACATACGAATTATTATCAAATTTAACATGAGTCATATAAACAAAGAATAAACATGACTCATTATGTAGCTTATTATTTTCTTATTACTCATTTAGTGTTATCGCTCGGAATACAAATATGTGAGACTTACTCTGCCAGTCTTTATTCTATTCAAACTTTTTATTTAGTATAATTAATACGCACGCTTGAAATTGATGGTTGAATAGATTTAAGAAATAAAAAACACTTTTATTCAGGTAATATTAATCTTTCATATTCATAGCATTTCAAAGGATTCGGTAACTTTTGCAGTGAAAATATAGATTAGTCACATCTTATACAGATCGCAAGAAACCTAGAACTTTAATGTTACAATTAGACTTGAACAATTCCTATGAATCTTCATTTCATTGAATAAGTATAAGAAATCATCGATTAAAACAATCAAATTAGTGAGAATAGTTACAAGAGAAGTTTCGTGTCTGTAGAGAAAATAGATACTTAGTAGTTTAATTATTCGAGAAAAAAAAACCAAAACTTTTATTTTAGGAATTTATAGTTTAGAAGACTTAACTTTTTCTCTTTACAATTTAATGCATATTTTTTTATGATTTGAAATCTTTTATTTTTTTTAGATTTTATTTCTATTGAAAATACAAAACAAAAATAAAATTCAATGCCGAATAGTAAATGGATAGCAGATTTAAAAACTGTACTTCAAGTTGGTAAAGCGCGTCTTGATGTACGTGAAAAGAAAAAATCCGAACAAGTAGCAAAAGAACGTTATACAGTTGCTGATTATGTTCGTAACAATAAAGTTCCACGTGCTCGTATTGGTAAAAAAAAATAAAAAGAATTTTTTTCTATTAAAAGACAAATTACTTTATACAAATTTACTTCTTTTTTTCTTTTTAGCTGTTGAACATCTTGTACGTGAAGATTATAAAATTGAAGCTATGGATCGAATTGAAGCTTATCTTGATACACTTCTTATGAGAATGCAATTAATAAAAGATCGTCCGTATGTTGAAATTTTTTTCAATAATATTTATTCGCAAATGAATTGTTGAGTACGCATACATATATAAAAATAGTAAGACTAGTCTCTATTATTTTATCTATCTGAATTGTCTTGCAAATAAGATGATATGAGAAAAACAGAGATAAAAAAACTTAATTTGTTCATTTTTAACAAAAATTGCCATTTTGAATTTTCTAATTGTAAGCTTTAACAATTACATATTACTTGTTGTTTACAATTTCATATCTATGATCGCTGATAAGTCATTGGGTTTAAGTTGAATTCTTATATGAATCTTTCTGTAAAAGAGTGTACGAAAAGTTTTCGATTCCGCTTTCTTTTGTATGAGGAGACTCCTAGGGATGTACCGAGACTCTCGGTCTCAGTCAAAAAACTGAAAAAATAATAATTTCGACCGATAGTAAATACAATGTTTACCTAGGATAAAGAACGAATAAGAAGTTAATTGTACTCGAGATCGAGCCCGAGAGGCTCGGTCTCGATACATCCCTATGAGAAGAATGTGACTCCTTTCCTCGGTCGTGTTATTTTTATAAGTTCATTTAATTTAATGAATCATGATCGAATTGTTCGAACATACGGCCAGTGGCGTACGCAGAAATTTTTCAAGGAGGGGGCCCAACTTCGCAGGGGGGCGCCATGGCACAAAAAAAGTTTTATTACGCGAAAATATTTTTCCTCGAACCCGCTTCCAGGACTTTTTCGTCTCAAGGGGGGTCCGGGCCGCCCCTGCGTGCGCCACTGCATACGGCTATTTTTGTATGCATATGCATAATCATTAAACAATTGATAAGATTAATTAATTTTTTAGAAAAAATGGAGCTGTTGATCCAGCTATTGAACAACCATTAGCAAATGTTTTATGGGCTGCACCATTTCTTACACAAGATATTCCTGAACTTGGTCAAGTAACAGCAATGTTTAAAAAACATTTTGGACCAGAGTAAGAAAAAAAAAATTCATTATTTTCTTTTTGTTCTTAATTAAAATAAATAATAATCTTTTTTTTTTTTTAAAGATATGTAACAATGTGTGAACAAAATAAACTTGGAATGGTTGATGTTGATCTTTTACGTTGTTTAAGTTGTGATCTTATTCCTAAATTACTTATTGAAAAATATTTAGTTGAAATATGTCGAAGTCAAAATGTACCATTTGAACCTGATCCAACTATAATGGCACAAGATGAATTTTGGACAATTGGACAACGTTATGTTCAACAAACAAATACTAATGATGAGAAACGTCCACCATCAAATATAAATGATGAGAAACGACCACCACCACCACCATCATCAAGTGGAGGAGGTGCTCCATCATCAGGAGGTGGCGGTGGTGGTGGTGGTGGAGGTCATTTAGATTTTCCATCTGTTCCATCAGCTCAACCAAGTGCACCAGCAGTAAGTTATTTTCTTTTTGAATAACTAATAAAGTGTATAAGAGAATAATTGAAATACTAAAAACAAAAAAAAAATTTCCTCTAATATTTTTAACAGTTTGAAAAATCGCCTCCAGCTTATTTAACAGTAAGTCGTTTTTTGCCCTGCTCGTGTGATAAAGAAATTTTTTTGATTAGAATTTAATATAGAATTATTTATTTACATATTTTAGCCTCAACCTCAATATCCAAATATTAATTTTGGACCATCAATTCCACCACCTCCACCACCATCATCATCGTCAAATACACCTCGTTTTGGTTTTAATGTTGATTATAGTGCTAAAACACCATTTAATGATCCATTTCCACAAGTTCCAAATGTAAATGATCGATCAGCACCACCTGCTGTTCATGGTGGTTCAGATGATCCTGGTTTTGATGATTTAGCTCGTCGATTTGAAGAATTAAAAAATAGAAAATAAATTTATAATGATTATATATAGAATATAACTATTTGTTTATTCAATGTATTTAACTATATGAACAAACTTGTGTTCACTTTATTCTATTTTCGCATATTCTTTTTTCTTCTTTTGTTATGGTTCGATTAATTTTACTTAAGTTTCTTTATATATATATACAATACATATCTTTTCTTTTTTTTGTGTGTCGGTGATGTTTGAATGTATAAATTATGAAGACGAAAGAAACAAAAAAAAAACAATGATTTTCGATATAAATAGTTAGATTGATGAAAAATAAAGAAACAAACTTGTAATTATTATTATCAAAAAAAAAAATAAATATATAATTCTATATATTGAAAATTCTTTTTTTTTTTCGTTGAAGAATTTTTATTAAACATTGATATAGAATAATAGTCTGTGGGATTTCTAATTTATTTTGCAAGTCAAAATTTTCGTGGTTGGATGTTATTATTAGATTTACGTACATGAACAGAAGTGCATATGTTTCAATAGATTGAATTCATTTCTATACTGCTATCGAATAACTGGAGTGATACATTTGTCTGTCATCAGTACTTCTTGAGTCTTTATCAGTGTTTTATCTAGGTTTTGTTTCCCGAATGGGCGAGTCGAAATTTCAGGTGGGCGGCGCTTACCCAGCCCACCCAGTAGATAAATCACTGGTCTTTATATAGATATGTGAAACTATGCTTATTAACATATCTTTATTTGAAAAGGTATTGAGCTTTGAAATAGTTTTTTAGACAAGATGTTTGATCCGCTAGAAAGTATTTTCGACGAGTCAAAAGCTATGAGTTAGAACCAGAATTTTTTTTCTCTTTTCGAATATGAACTTAGAAATTTTGTCTCAGTTTTTGTTTGAGAGTAGTGAAATAATCGTTGAAAAATCCAAAAAACTAGTTTGGACGGAAAATTTTTTCGCACATTTTTGTATATTTACTATTACAATTCGAAACTAAAAGTTGAGATCTTTGTTTTATATATCAACTTGTAGATCGGAAGCTGCTCTACAAAATGCACTAATTCGAGATGTTTTTGTCTTTCGACAAAGCATCTTAATTTTCGTTTTTCATAAATACTAATTTTTGAAAAACTGACTTTTTGACCAAAATCGTTTTACATTGAAAGGAGATCTTCACAAAATGACTGTAACTTTAGTTGGGTAGAAGCTACAGTTTAGTTCAATATCACATTTTGTAGAGAAGTTTTTACTCTACAAAACGACCGTCTTCGACAATTTTTAGCATGTTCAAAAAGGGACTTACAGGAGTAAACAAAAACGTGTTGATTCACCATTAAAAATTATTTTTCAGGTCTTTCAAAAAATTCCTCACTGCTCTTGAACAAAAATAGATGCAACATTTCTAAGCCTATATTCAAAGAGAGCACAAAATTCTGGTTACGACCTATAGTTTTTGGCTTGTCTGAAATGCTTTCAAGCAGGTCAAAGTTAACAAACATGTTCGCCAAGAAATTTCGGTCCACAAGTTCTGTCCAAACTAAATTTTTCGGCTTTTCAAAGATTATTTCACTACTCTCGAACAAAAACTCAGACAAAATTTCTAAACCCATATTCGAAAAGAGAACAAAATTCTGATTCTAACTCATAGCGTTTGACTTGTCGAAAATCCTTTCTAGCGGATCAAAAGTGAACAAACATCTTGTTCAAAAACTTTTCTATCGGACGTTATTACATAGAAATCAAAGTTCTAAATTATAAAAGCAATATTTTCGAAACAAAAATTTTGGTTTCACTCTTTTTATGAACTGTTCTATGTCTAAATAATGCATGCTTATTTTTTAAAGATTCACAATACAATGTTCCACAAGAACATATCATAAATTTCAGTATGAAATATTCAGCAAAACAATTAGATGAATAAATACTACTACAAGGCGTGAACATGCATTATTTTCACAAAATAAAATACAAGCTGTTTTCAGTCGATTCATTGGATAATGAAAAAAAAATCGAGAGCAGTCTTGTAGGACTTGAAGAATTTGATATTTTGACCGTATTAGTAACGTTCTTGTATCCATATTAGTCTTGTAAATGAATTAATGTTTTTCAAACTTAACAGAAATAACAATTTTTAAATCAGTAAGTCCCAAAAAAATTTGTATGATTCGATGAAAAAATCGAGTCAATATCGTTCAGCATTATTTGCTACTCGCTTTCACTTTCCTACTTTGAATGTACTCTTACTGAAGATTTATGAAGCACATGTATATGCTTTCATTTCGATCTTGATAAATATGCATATCTATGTACGGGTAGAGTATAACAGTATAAAAGTTTAAATAAATGATTCAATAAAAAAAAAACACCAAATATTCAATTAGAATTTACTCCAAGAAAAAAAGAATCCTATGTATATGAGTAACAATTATTTATGTGCTATAAATACTCATTTAAAAAAAAAGAAATATATTCAAAACAAAACATATTATTCTCAAAGAAAAAGAAAGTTTTCTAGAACTTAATGCAGATAAAAAGCAAAGACGCTTTCTCTATGCTTGTTACACATATCTTTTCCTTACTGTGCATTGTCAATAGATTTCGAAAAGGTAATTTGATTGTTGTCATCTTATAGTTCCTTGAAAATACCTATTTTTAATTCATCTATTATGTCACATCCAAAGCTTAGATGAACGAGATATCTATGACTAAATTTACAAATATTATAAACTCTTATTTCTAAAATCAATAGTTTTTTCATTTCTCAGAACCAAAACTTTGAGTTGAATTATACTTCTAAATGGTACATACATCTTCTATTAATCTCACACTAGAAATGTTTATCTTTTTTATTAACAAGACTAGATCTATTCGAATCAAATTATATTTTTCACTGACAAACTAATAAATTTAAAAGATAGACTGGTCTTAGCATGTGCGGACCGACACGTTCAAACTCTACAGAGTTTACAGTATATGTAAGACGTTCGCCATAGGAAGCCTAGGTTTTTGAATTTATTAATTTAACGATGAAAGGTTTAATTTGACCTGTATGTATGCCTAGTCTTATTAACTAATAAATCAAACATGTTCATTATCAATATTTATTTTTGTTGTTACAAGACGAAAATGAGAGTTAGAATAAGAACTGACGCGAAGAGTGATAGATCATTATTTAGAAATTCTTAATAAGAGTTATATGCTATCGATAGATAAAGTCAATGAATTATCTAAATAAATGAACAATTCTATATGTAACTAATAAGCTCTTTTTTTGTTATTGTTTTAATTTTAATGATAATATTCATTTTGATTATTAAATAAATCTACTAGAACGTTTTATCTAATCAAAAAACAAAAACTATCGATAGTTTTATTGTGTTTGTCTATTGTCAATAATATGTATATTCAACATCCTAAAGTCATTTGTTCGTGTCATTAGACGATATATTTAGCAAAGCAAGTAAATACATACCACCAGGTTTATCCTATTGTCTTTTTTTTTTATCTATCATATTATAATCATCTCTGTAGTCATGTCAATCAAATGAAGTGTATCGATATAATCTTTCTTGAATAAACTATCTATACATTATATGTATATTTTATAGTGAGAAAAGATCGATTATTTCAACTGATCATATACAAAAGAATAATACACACATTATATTTATTCTTATAGTGTATCATCATTCTCAGACATAAGTCTATCATATTGAAAAGATGAATTTATCAGACATTATTTTTCTATGTTTATATTTTACATTTTTTTTTTTGGTAAACAATGTAATCATCATCGATCAATGTCTTTTATTTTTTTATTTTTTTCTTTAAAGTAAATCTTATAGAATTCTTTTCTTATGTTTTTACAATAACTTTAATTTAAGATAAACAAAAAATTCGTTAAGATTTATATGATTTTTATCAATAATAATAAGAAGAAGAAGAAAAATATTTGTAAAAGCAACAACAAAATTCAAGAGTTAATTCGAACTGTTTGTTTTATAACTCCACCTCCTATTGTGATGAGTGACTCTTGTTTTATCAAGTAAGCGCATCTTTTATTCGATATTGTATTCATTCGCACACGACGATGATAAACATCCGTCCTCATATTTCACGCTCAGTTCAATTACATGTGTGATGAATATGAATGATGTTTCTAATTACTCCCTTACTGTGTCTCATCTCACGCACGAATGGTTTATTAACAATAGTGTGATTTCTTTTTTTTTGAGTCAAACAACGACTGTACACATTGTTTTTGATGAATCATGATTGGATAAAAAAAGAAAAATTTAATCGAAAAATTTTTTTGGAATAGTTCTTTTTTTTTGTGTAGATCGAACAATAGAAAATGAATTATAATTTAATTCGATTTCGAAAAAGATGTACTAAAATATGAAATATAATAAGAAAAAATGAGAATTACGAAGATTTTCTACAAATATAATCAATGAAATGATCTTTATCGAAAATGATAAATGTGCAAGATAACATTTAAAAGTGTTTATTAATAATAATAGGAAAGAAAATATATGTTTTGAATGAATACATATCGTACAAAAGACTTTTGGTTTTTTTTTTTTGTACTTTATTCATTAAAATGTAAATTTATCAAGAATAGAAAATGTTAGATTATCTATATATAAAGAATACTATAGAATGATTTGAAATCAAAGATTTTGTTTTTTTAGGTCACGTATCTTCAAATTATTTTTTTTCATAGAAAACAATATCAAATACTTTTATTGATATTACTCTTCCTTTTTACTTGAATAAAATACCTAAAATATCAAACATGAAATTAATGTCCAGTTCAAAATATAATGCTCGCCACCATTTTTTGAATAACTCAAGACCTACGGTTTTCACCAATCGATAGATAAGACAGGGGGACGTATTTTTCTCAGATAATATATAAGGCGAACTCCTTTTAAAACTAGTCGTCTTTGAAAAGTATGGAAAAGAATGCATGAAAATGACTTCCCATCCAGATGAAATTTTGATAGAGGAACTTGAGATCTATAGCTCA